GCAGGGTCGCATCGCTGTACTGTAACTTGGGGAAATACTGGAATGGAAATCCTCTGCTACTGTATTTGTGCTTGGGTCATCATGGACTAATTTCATTTTGAAGTTACCAGAGAGATGGAGTCATGACAGGAGTAGCATCTCAAGTGAGGGGAGAAGATGGCACCTACCTGCAGTGGCATCTCGGAGTCTGGCTGAAGCAGCGTGCAGAGACTGTGATGGGTGCTGACAGCTGCCGGCCACTGCCTCTCAATCCCTCATATCTCGAGCCTCCCCAAATGACAGCTCCTTTGTTTCAGAAATGGGAAAAAAAAGCTGCCCCTTGTATTACTCCAGAATTAACTGTCAGGATTTCTGGTTAAGGCTTGTCATGAAAGTGAAACTTGCTCCCTGGAAGCTGCCTGTGCTTGACACTTGAGATTTCAGGGTATTTAGGAGCTGGTTTTACACTTCGCCCCTCACTTTTGCTTGATGTACCTGGTCAGGGGTTTCTGAGGAAGATGTCTGAGCACTGAGCTGCACGTTTTCCCTGGTCCGAGAGAGGAAGCGCCTGGCCCTATGCGTGGGCTCAGCAGCAGCCGCTCCCTCTTCGTGGCGCCCAGAGAGGGACACCCAGGCTGCAGCGGCTGGAGCATGTCCCTCCTCTAACGCCCAACCCCAGCATGGCTGGGGGCTCCCAAGAGAAATCGGAGCTGGGTTATTGTGAGACTTGCACAACTTCTTGGCTTGTGTGATAAAGACCATTGCTTGTGTTTTACAAAGCAACTCGTAACTCAGACCCATTCCCCTGCCTACTGGTGCCCTCTCTTTCCCAGGCTTGGCAGTGTATTTGTGACTTATCCTTTATGGATGAAGGGACAAAGCTCCCAGCCCAGGGACAAATCTCAGGCACAGCTCTCCTGTGGCAGGTCCAGCTCAGAAGGCCACAGCCTTCATCTTCTCCCTCGCATCAGGCAGATAAGCAAGGCTGGACTGATGGGCCCGCCACCACTCATGGTGGCCCTGTCCTTCCGCATTAGCTGTCTTTTGGGGGTTGTTCAGTCCTTCTGCCCTCCTTGCCAGGGCCAGTGGAGCATGGAGGCAGGGGCAGAAGGGCTGAAGAGCCAGTGACTGCTTCACTAACACACAGCCCAGTTCAAAACGTTTCGGAGCATGCTGCAGCTCTGCCCAGAGGTCTTGGGGAAGATCTTTGCCCGCAGACACAAAA